GAACTATGAAATTTTGTTATTCCTGTTTTGTACTTTGAAGTTCATAAGTTGTTAATACCATCTCATTCCCACCTTTTTGGTTCAAACTAGCTTCTTACTACATTGAAGGGGACAAGTGAAAATGAAGCATTTCAAACCTTAAAATGTATGATTCCTCTCAATTGTTGTACCTCCCCTGCCTGTAGTACTGTGTGAGAAGAAGCAGCTATTACAACATGCTCTTTTGAACTTTGTAAGCAGATTATAGCTGTACAACCAGCAACGGGACACTTTACAGCCTTTTCTGGGCATTCTGAAAGATGGAGAGTCATGTGGCATCTAAAAAAGGAAGCTAAAGGGCCTTATTGATTATCAAAACAAACAATAAGAGAAGCAAGGTGGATATTACATTCTTTCCTCAATTTTTCAAATCAATGCGGCCTGACCTCTGTAAGGAAGGATAGCAATAGATAATGTGTACTGTTATTATACCCTGAAGACATGTTACAGCCAAACCTGAAAATGGATGGAAATTGTTACTTTCGGACCATAATTTCTCTGCCTGACTTTTTGCAGTATGAATTTGGGGGAAAATGGGTACCGTATTTCCTTGGTTAATAGGTGTCTGTCTAAAAATTGCCACCTAAAATTATTGCCCAATTGGTCGAAAATAGTTCAAAAACAATTCCCCTCCTGTCTAGCCTAATCATAGCACTTTTGTAATCAGCCTCTTCTCCCTATATCACCCTTCCCTTTCAAGTGCCTGATATTATTTGAGGGGACAGATCTTGGTAAACTTCACCGCCGTAGCTGGTGGTGAAAGAGAACACTAACCACAGGAGTCATATAGGCTGTTTGTGCAACAATCAAAATCAACGACTATTCCCTTGAGGCAAAGTGGACATTGTCAAGGATACTTGTATGCCTGAGGGAAAATACTGTTTTAGCATTATTTCTCAGGTGATTATGCAATAAACTGCCTTTCACTTCCTTTTCCTTCATAAATACGTCAAATCATGCTTAGAGATTACGTAATCCTTGACCAGTCAGAGTGCACACATCTAGTCACCCGAGCAGTTATACTGAAGAAAAATATTAGACTATTTGCAGTTTCATTTAGTAAATTTACACTAGTAGAGAAGGAAAAATGAAGCATTCTCTTGGGTTTTCAGTCAACATGTTTAATTCTTTGTTTAAGTAATGGTCTGCCTAGGAAGCAGGCAGCCCAGCGGCAAAAGTAATTAAAAGCTATGAAATATTAATTTTTAACTTCCCTCTAATCGAGGCATCTGATTGGCTAACGAAGAAAAATGTCGAAAAAAGATGGGAAAAAAATGAAAAAAGGCTTTGTTGGACTTCTTCCTCCCCATGCCCTTGATCTCGGTCTCTCGGCCAAATTTGGGCATTGTTCTATGCACCAATCAAAAGTTAGAGACTAAAACGTGATGTATCACGCGCGACGCCATTTTGGTTTGCAATTGAAAAGGTGCTTCCCTGGACATCTAAAGCAAAAATCTTCACCTTATATTTATGAACTCTATGTATTACAG